TCTAACTCTCTATCCCTCTCCTTTCCTCCCTGTAAAAAAATCAATAATATATATATATATATATTTTTTTTTTTTTTAAAAGAAAGATGAGCACATGTTTAGCCAGATGGACTATGGGAAGTGGAGTGTCAGCAATACCATGGGAAATACCTCCCTCGTTCACTTAGCAGACATCTATTGAGGACCTGTGATGTGCCAGGCACTGAACAGTGGCGGAGGTAGATACTGGTGCTACAGTGATGGTAAGACCCTGCTCCTATCCCCTTAGGAAGGGATAGACCATAAAGAATCATAATGCAGCGCCCTGAGCTGTATAGTCACAAGGCACAAGAGATTACTTCTGGGTTCTTTCTCACCCCTGGACACAGAACGTCAGCATAAGAGTCTGCCTTTCTAGAATTTAAACCTAATTTAATGGGAATAAATGCTTACAGGGTACCTAACAGGCAGCATGCCGTGAAGGTAAGAGTAGAGACTTTAGCATCATATATGGGGGCGGGGGGGGGGGGAGGTGTCACATCTAACTTTGGCCATACAAGCTGTGAGACCTAGGGCAATTTGCAGATCTCCACAGAAAAAAGTGTCATTTCTTGACAGACCCCGCAGTTGGGGTTTCCTAATCGGAGGGGAGACTTTTGGGGGTAAAATGGGAGTTTTGGGGGTGAAATAGGCATGTTTAGTTAATTTTTAAAAAGATTTTATTGTTTTTTTTACACAGAGGAAGGGAGAGGGATAGAGAGTTAGAAACATCAATGAGAGAAACATTGATCAATTGCTTCTTTTTATATATATACTAGAGGCCTGGTGCACAAAATATGTGCATGGAGCGAGGGTGGGGGGGTCTCCCTCAGCCCAGCCTGCACCCTCTCCATCTGGAACCCCTAGAGGAGTGTCCGACTGCCCTCTCACAATCCAGGACTGCTGGCTCCCAACTGCTCACCTGATTGCCCCTAACAGCTTCTGCCTGCCAGCCTGATCACTCCGTAACCACTCCCATGCCAGCCTGATTGATGTTTTAACTGCTCCCCTGCCAGCCGGTTCTCCAACTTGAATTCCACATTTGAGTGGTCACTGGGGGCAGAAATAGAGGGAGAATCAGAAATGGGGGTAGGAATTTGAAACTCAAATTGGTTAGAAATTTTCAGAAACCTTTGAATGGACTTTGGACTTTTCCCAGAATGCTGTGGCTTTGTTATATTAACATTTGTTAAGTAGAGACACAAAAAAATGGAAAAGAAAGCGAAATAGACGAATTTATTGCTAACAGGTTCTGTGGGGGGAGGGGAGAGTCAAGATGGGGTGCAGGCAGAGAGAGCATTACTGGGTGTTATTTTCTTATTTTAAAATATATTTTATTAATTTTTTACAGAGAGGAAAAGAGAGGGATAGAGAGAAACATCGATGAGAGAGAAACATCTATCAGCTGCCTCTTGCACTCCCCCTATTGGGGACGTGCCGGCAACCAAGGTACATGCCCTTGACTGGAATCGAACCTGGGACCTTTCAGTCTGCAGGCCGACGCTCTATCCACTGAGCCAAACTGGTTTCAGCTCTGGGTGTTATTTTCTTCTCCCCTCGTTTCTACTTCTTTGTCTTTCTGCTTTATTTTCTGGGACATATTCTCAATTTTATCTTCTAACTCATCTATTGAGTTTTTTTTTTTTTAATTTCTGATCTCATATTTCACATTTCAAGATTTATTTTTTTTTACTCTGAATATTCTTCTTCTTCTTTTTCTTCTTCTTCTTCTTCTTTTTCTTCTTCTTCTTCTTCTTCTTCTTCTTCTTCTTCTTCTTCTTCTTCTTCTTCTTGGCTCACCACCTTATTCTGTATTTTTAAATGCAGTATCTTCTCTTTCCTCTGAAGGCAGTGGGTTATTGTGTTGAAGTTTTCTTGCCCCCACATCATCGCTGTCTCTTCTAGATTGCTCTTATTTCCTGTTTCTCTAGTTGGGTCTCTAGCACATTATAGGTTTTCTTCACATAGCTGGTTATTGTCTACACTTCAGTGACATCTACTTCACAAGGAGCCATTTGAGTCATGGCATGTCTCCACTGTCTATTTAGACGGTTACACGGCTCACCTGGTATTTCTAGGCATTCATGCCTTAGAAATCCGTAGACTACAGATTGGTTTGCCACAAGCAACCCTGGACAACCAGGTACGTACTTCTAAAAGCATTCCAAGGATTAGTCTCCTGTTGGCAAATACCGTTCGTTTTCGTGCTAGAAGTTCTGTCATTCACATGTTTAAAAAGGGATTTGACTGATCACCTTTCTTTCTTTCTTTCCTGGTTGTGTCGCCTAAGTAATAAAGAGAATGAATTATGAACCTATTGCTTAACCCATTACTTCACGGTGTTTACAGTACGCTGGGACCTCTCATCTTAAAAGAGCGAGAGCTCTATGGGGTTGGTATTATGATCCCCATTTAACAAACAAGGCTGTGAGGCTCAGCTCTTAAATTGTTCCCCCCTCCCCCCCCCAGGTCCTGACACCTGGTAAAATGAGAAGGGTCTCGGATGGCTAAGCTCAAGAACTCCTCCCCATTGTGCTCCCACCGATAAGGTCTGCTAGCCAGACAACCCTTCTTAGCATGGGGACCAGGCACAGTGTGTGTGTGTGTGTGTGTGTGTGTGTGTGTGTGTGTAGTGTGTGTGGGGGTGGGTGTGTGTGTGTATTTTGTTTTCTGAGCAAAAGGGCTCCAGTTCCCCACCAACCTGAGGAATTGCTCAAACAAGACAATCACATCCTCCCACAGGAACCAGAGTTCACCTGATCTTCTTATCACTGCAAAGCCTATATTTTATAGCTCCTAGCTGGTCCCTCTGCTCCCAAAGTGCAACCCCTGCATGGCAGGCAGAGTCCTCCTCCCCTAGGCTCTGAGTGTATGTGGCTATTAAACTGCCATTGGTCTCATCCCTCCAGTGTTGGGTGCCATGTATTCAGGCATCCTCACAACCCTTGGGAGAGAAAATAAGAAAATCAGAGAAGGCCCAGCCAGGTGTAGCTCAGCGGTTGAGCATCGACTGGGAACCAAGAGGTCACAGGTTCTATTCCCAGCCAGGGCATATGCCTGGGTTGCAGGCTTGATCCCCATTGGCAGGAGGCAGCCAATCAGTGATTCCCTCTCATCGTTGATGTTTCTATCTCTCCCTCTCCCTTCCTCTCTGAAATCAATAAAAATAGATTAAAAAAGAAAAGAAAATCAGAGAAGGATCCCAGGAGACCCAGCATGTGAAAAGGAGACAGCCGGCACAGCTCCCCGGGGTGAGCAGCTTTTGCAGCTGCCTTCCAGCCCCGCCCCTCCATTCCCAGCAATAACCAGGCTTTAAAAGGTCCCCTGCAGCCCAGACTCAGAAGCCCCATCCCGTAGGTCGCCAGCTGGCTGCTGGAAGAGAAGCATCGAAGTAAATTCATTTATGCTCCTGTGCGAATGATGGCCAGGCCTCACCACGTTCAACACTCTATAGAGTGTTTGTATTTTTTAAAACACATTTTTATTTTACAAAGGATTGAATCACTGGCATTAGCCTTGTGGTTGACATTTGGGGAGGAAGGAGGAGAGGAGACAGCTTTCTGTACACTTCAACCATTAGGTGAGCTGAAAAGGACACCTGCCGTAAATCAGATGTGGGTGAGAATCTCCCTTCCAATGTCTGTGTCCTCCATCATTCTCATGTGGACAGTCATCTGCTCCTTTTAGCACCCATTCCTTGTTCGGTCTGTCTTATGTAGGTGGGAGCACTTGTAGGGCGGATTACAGCCCCACTGGAGTCTAGCACTGAGGGGGGCACCTGTGGGCACTCGGCAGGTATTTGTACAAACGGTTGCTTGCCACCAGTGTCCCAGTTATAACAGCACCCATCTTGATCACTCCACCTAGGAAGAATGCATCCCTTCGCCCCACGGTGCTGATGCTGGGAGTGGGGCCGGGGAGATGGAAGATGGAGTCCATTCCTGGCAGAATTCAGCAGGACACTTGTTTAGAGTGGAGTTTCCCAGCCCAGACAGAAAGAACCCAATTTCGCCCCCTGCCCTTTCTAGGTCAAGCAGCCCTGGTGAGGGATGTGGTGTGAAGGTGCCAGCCCCACCCGCATTCCTGGTGTTGCGGGGGGGTTGGGGGGGGCGGTGGTGGAGGAGAAATGTTATCTGGTACCTGGAAAGGTCAGAAAGAAGGAAGAGTCCCAAGGATGTCCATATGGGAGCGACTCTCAAGCTATGCTTTTAGCGAAGAGTCTCGTCATTCCGTGCGTCTCGCTCCTTAGGGCGAGGTTGGCAAGCCTGATCCTTCTTTTTCATAAAAACCTCCCTCCCTCCCCTACAGGACGCCGCGGGCTGGGAAGTCAGCGGGCAGAGGACTGAGTGAGGCATCCCTTTCCTAACGGTCCTAACGGTCCTCGGGAGGAGCTCGGCCTCTGGGACCGCCTCACCCTCCCGTCGAGGGTCCCCGCTGCCGGGCTACTCTGCTGTGCCCGCCCGCGCCCGCGCCCTCCGCCCGGCGGCGGCGCCCTGGGAGCCAGCTGTCCGGCGCAGCCCCTTTTGGCATCGAGGCCTCCAGGTGCCCAGCAGGGAGGCGGAGCCCGGCTACAGCCGCCTCCCCGGCGCCACGGACAGGACCCCCCGGGAGCTCGTGGCCCCAACCCTGAGGCTCCGGTGGCGGCGTCCCCAGCCTCCCGGGCTGTCCGCTCCTCCCTCCCTCTCCGCGCGCCGGGCGCGAAGCCTGAGACCCGCGAGCAGAGCGCAGCGCAGAGCCGAGTGGCGCTCGCCGGGCGGGGGCCCAGGCAGCCCGGAGCGCAGGCAGCCCGGAGCGCAGGCAGCCCGACCCCAGGCAGCCCGGAGCGCAGGCAGCCCCGACCCCAGGCAGCCCGGAGCGCAGGCAGCCCGGAGCGCAGGCAGCCGGACCCCAGGCAGCCCGGAGCGCAGGCAGCCCGACCCCAGATAGCCCGGAGCCCAGGCAGTCTCGATCGCAGCGCCCGCACCCCCTTGGCCACCCCGACCATGGCCGCCCCGGGCCCCGGCCCCCTCGCCCAGCTCTGGACGGCGGCGCTGTTCCTGCTGGGTCTGCAGCCCCTCTCCGTGAGGGCGGACGGTGAGTGTCCGGGAGGCGGCGGGGTCTGGGGTGGCGCGTGGGGTTTGGGAAAGCAAAGCTCGCTGGGGGTGCCCATCCGGCCCGAGCCCGGAAAACCTTAAGCCTGGGAGCGAGCGAGGTGAGCGGCGGTCCTGCGACCCTGCGTCCTCTCCCGTCCAAACGCCTCCCTTTAGCCCCCCAATCCTTCCCTCACACCTCGGGCAAAGCCCAAGCATTGGTCCTGCAGTCCCACCGCCGTGAGCTTTCTCACGATCTGCAGGGAAGGGCTTTCACAGGGAATCACGTCTGGAGTGCCCTAGACCCTCCTCTCGAGGCGGGTGGAATTAGCTGGGTCTGGGAAGACCTGGGAGATGAGTGGGCATCGACGAGGCAGAGGGGAGAGCAGAGTGGCCTGGGGTGGAGGGAACAGCACGTGCAAAGTCCCTGTGCTGCGAGCGGCAAGGAAAATGGGATAAAAGATGCAGCGGCCCCAGACTGAGCGCTGAGGGTGTCCTTGAACGTGAGGCTCCCTGTAAGTAAGGACCAGATTATTGCCGGATCCTGAAAATTGGCCCACCTTTTCTTGTTTGTTTTCTGAACTGAATTCAGCTTTCAGGAGTTCCCTTAAGTAGACAGCCTTATCTATCAGTTCAGTTTCAAAAGCGAATTCAACCGTATTTTTAATTTTGGCACAAAACCCCATTGATTTGGTGCAGGAGGGTCCGAAAGAAAAGGGTTTCTAGAAACCCAAACTTGAGACAAACCAGACTGGTGCAGGAGAAGAGTCCTTGGCTTATTGAGGATGTGTTGTACGTGTTTAAATGTCATCGGTGTTTAGCAAACAGTGGTGGGTGAAACTAGATGACAGAAGAAGCATGGGGTTTAGGGCAGAAGGAAAGCAAGAAAAACCTCCGGGTATTTTCGTAGAGTTTTCGGGGCTCTTGGTCCAAGTGCTAACTTGACGAACTCTTTGCTCACAATTGAGAATGAATGTCTTTTTTTTCTCCATGTCCTCAGAGAAAGGGTTAGAAAACATTTTTAACTTCAAAGGCTCCTGGTGATCACTGTCAATGTTTAATTGAGATATAATTCGTGTAACACTTATCGGTTTAAAAGGTACATTTCAGTGGTTTTCAGTATATTCATTAGGTTGTGCAGCCGTCATCACTATTTAATTACTAAAAATTCATTTCATTGAAAAAAATCCCATATCTATTAGCAGCCAATCCTTTATTAATTCTTGTATTTTTTTTTCCTTTTGCCTGACATTGAGTCTTGAAAATTAAGCTGATTTTAAAGAATCCAAGAGGAATAAATTGGAGCTAATGTTAACTTTTGAACAGTGTATACTATTGTACCAGCTTTAATTCCTTTTAAAGAAATATTTCTGCAATCTACAAGGCGTTAAGAGTTTCACCCCATTATAACTGCTTAAGTGCAATGCTAGATGGATATGGATCAATGCTTTGTGTCTGTCTGTCTGTCTGGACGTGGGTCACAGAAAATGGAAGGCAGCTGAAACCGGTTTGGCTCAGCGGTAGAGCGTCGGTCTGCAGACTGAAAGGTCCCAGGTTCGATTCCGGTCAAGGGCATGTACATTGGTTGCGGGCACATCTCCGGCAGGGGGTGTGCAAGAGGTAACTGGTCGATGTTTCTCTCTCATCGACGATTCTAGCTCTCTATCTCTCTCACTTCCTCTCTGTAAAAAAATCAATAAAATATATTTTTTTAAAAAGAAAAGAAAATGGAAGGCAGAGGTATCACTGGACAAGGAGACAATAAGAACAGCACCCAAGCACGCTTCCTTGTCACCACTTGCCAGAAATGCCTGTTTGCCTCTGCCGTTTTTCCTTCTCCCCTCTTTCCTTCTCCCCTTTTCCCTAGTGGAAGGTTACAGGTACACTCGCTTTCAATTAACTCCATTTGCTGAGCTCCAACTTTTATAGTAGAGCCATTGACGAATTATAACCCATATTATGAAAGGATTCTTTTCTTTACTAAATATATGCCTAACTACCGCCACTTCCCATGTTTAATTTGTGTTCAACAGTAATGAAAGGAGGACGAAGAAGTGTTCTTCTAAACTGTGATGCATTATAGACATTCAAAGAGAGAACTGGGCTTATCAAAAAGCCCTATGGACTTATAAAGAAATAAGTCAATGAGATAATTTCAAATGAAAGACATTTAATTTGTATATGCATCTGATATATAAAAGAGACTTGCCACTGTACTTTTAAAATACTTTTGAAACTGAAAAATCTTCCTATGATCTGAATGCAAGTACTGTCCTTGCTGTTGAGGATAGAATGATGAGGAGAAGCAGGTTCTTACTATCAGGGAACATCAAATCCAATGGAAGAGAGAGGCATGAAGCAAAAAATTATATGAATGAAATGTGATATTGTGATTTTTTAAAGGTTTTTAAGTATAATATTATTACCAAAATCGTATTAACATAGTATGATATCACAAAAGTTGTAGGAAATATTAAAAATCTGCAAATAACAGGATCACTTCTATTATATTCTAGAATATTTTTACCCCTTTGGGTCTATTTTTGTTCATCAGTTTATGCTGTTCATTATATTCCACAAATGAGTGAGGGCATATGATATTTATCTTTCTCCGACTTGCTTATTTTGCTTAGCATGATGCTTTTATTTTTTTTTATTTTTAAAAAAATATATTTTATTGATTTTTATACAGAGAGGAAGGGAGAGAGATAGAGAGTTAGAAACATCAATGAGAGAGAGTCATCGATCAGCTGCCTCTTGCACACCCCCTACTGGGGATATGCCCGCAACCAAGGTACATGCCCTTGACCGGAATCGAACCCGGGACCCTTCGGTCCCCAAGCCGACGCTCTATCCATTGAGCCAAACCAGTCCCGGCAGCTTAGCATGATGCTTTTAAAGTCTATTTTGTTGGATATGAGTATTGCTACTCCAGCTTTTTTTTTTTTCTTTTCTATTTGCATAGAAAAACTTTTTCCATTCCTTCACTTTCATCCTGTGTGTGTCTTTTGTTTTGAGGTGGGTCTCTTGTAGACAGCATATAGTTGGGTCCTGTTTTTTTTATCCATTCAGCTACCTTACACCTTTTGATTGGAACATTTAATCCATTTACATTTAGGGTTTTTATTGAGAGGTACTTATTTATAGCCATTTTCATTCGGTATGACTAGATTTCTCTCCCTGTTTCTTCTCAGCAATCCCTTACTTACAAGAATCCCTTTAGCATTTCTTGTAATGCTGGCTTGGTGGTGATGAACTCCTTTAGCCTTCTCCCCCCTCCATCACTCCCCTCTTTATTTGACCGTTTATTTTGAATGAGAGCCTTGTTGGATATAGTCATCTTGGTCTCAGATCCTTGCTTTCCATTACCTTGAGTACTTCATGCCATTCCCTTCTGGCCTGTAGAGATTCTGATGAGAAATCAGGTGTAAGCCTTATGGAGACTCCTTTGTAGGTAACAGTTTTCTTTTCTCTTGCTGTCTTTAAGATTCTCTGTTTTAATTTTTGGCATTTTAATTATGATGTGTCTGGGTGTGAGTCTGTTTGGGTTCTTCTTGTTTGAAGTTCTCTGTGCCTCCTGAACTTGTGTGACTTTTTCCTTTATCAGATTAGGGAAGTTTTCTGCCGTTATTTCTTCAAACACCTTCTCTATTCCTTTCTCCCTTTCTACCTCTTCTGGCACACTTACCATTCTAATATTTTTTAAAAATATATTTTATTGATTTTTTATAGAGAGGAAGGGAGAGAGAGAGCTAGAAACGTCGATGAGAGAGAAACATTGGCCAGCTGCCTCTTGCACACCTCCTACTGGGGATGTGCCTGCAACCAACCTACATGACCTTGACCGGAATCGAACCCGGGACCTTTCAGTCTGCAGACCAACGCTCTACCACTGAGCCAAACCGGTTTTGGCAAATATTGTTATGTTTCACATTTTCCCATAGCTTCCTTAAGCTGTCCTCCTGTTTTTTTAAATTTTTTTTTTTTGTTCTCTAAGTGATATTTTCAACTCTATCTTCTAATTCACTGATTCAATCCTTGACTTCCACTAATCTGCTGTGTATTCCTTCCAATGTGTTATGTCATTACTTATCTCAAACTGTTCTTTTTTCATAGTTACTATATATATTTTTTTAGACTCTTAAGCATCATTACTCTGAACTGTTTCAGATAAATTTCTTATCTCTGCTTCATTTATCTCTTCTTCTGAAGAATTCGCTAATTCTCACAGCTCCAGTCCACTTCACCCTCCCTCTTTAATTTAATTCTTTAATTTAGGGGTCGGTCCTTCGTTTCCTCATTTTGGGTACCTGCTATGGTTTGTGACTATATGTTTTAGGTAGATCCTCTATACCTCTCAATCTCTAGTGCAGGACAGTGTTAAATGCTGTTTCTGACTAATTGGATCAGGCAAAGACTCAAAGCCTCCAGAGACTTCCGTATACCAACTTGAATTGCCCCAGGCAATCATCCTGAGGTGTGGGGAGAGTTGTTTTTTTTCCAACTGGGTGGAGCAGTTGCTTCTGCCTGGAAGCTAATTGTTTCTTTTAATCTCTTAAGTGACCTCAGGGCAAGGGTTTTCCAATAGGGTGTGTCAACTGTCTTCTCCCCTTCATCCCCCCTCAGGCAAAGTGGATGTCTATGTGGGAAAGATGACTTCCCCTGTGTGAGGGAATGACTCAGCCCAGGAAACTGGTGGTGTCTGCCTTCTGAGCTCTATCCCCCAAGTCCACAGTCCTGGGTTCTGCTCTCACAGCTCCAGTCCACTTCTCCCTCCCTCTGCCAGAGCACAAGGCGGGTGGGGGAATTTTTGTGCTCCACAGGGAATTTCTGTGCATTGGCCCTTTAAGAGGGTGCCTAAACTTTCAGCTGCCACTCCCTAGCAGACAGCACCCCACTGCTTTTCACAGCTAGATGTTATCTGGGTACCCTCCTCAATTTGGTGCTCTACGCTGCTGGGGAGCTCAGCTTTGGGTTTAGATCTCAGAGTTCCCAGTGGCACCCCCTACCCCCACAGCTGAAACATCTCTCCGGACTTCAGTTGCCATTTGTGGGTGGTCAGCCAGCCCTTTCGTGCCTCCGCCCTTCCTACCAGTCTCTATGCATCTCCACCGTTGGTCTTTTGGTAGCAGGGTTCTCTCCTGTGAGTTTTCCATTGATTATTCAGGAAGCTTTTCCATATTTCAGTTGTAATTCCAGCTTGTTTCTGGAAGCATGTCCATGCAACATACTCCTACTCTCACATTGCAATTTAGATACAGAAGATTAAAGGACAGAGGTACTGTGAGAGCATATACTAGGGTAGTGGTCGGCAAACCACAGCTCACGGGCCACTTGAGGCTCTTTGGCCCCTTGAGTGTGGTTCTTTCACAAAACACCACGGCCTGGGCAAGTCTATTTAGAAAAAGTGACGTTAGAAGAAGTTTAAGTTTAAAAATTTTGGCTCTCAAAAGAAATTTCAATCATTGTACTGTTGATATTTGGCTCTGTTGACTAATGAGTTTGCCGACCACTGTACTAGGGAATTCTGACTTGGTGTAAAAGAATCTGAAAGATGAGTAAGTATAACTAGTCAAGGAGAGGGAAGAAGAGTGTCTAAGTAGAGAGTAGCATGTGCAAAGAAACTGAGTGACTATCCACTCAGCCAAACCGGTTTTGGCTATTATTATTTTTATATTATTTTTGACAGTATTACAGATATCCCCCCATTTCCCTCTTGGACCTCCTCCACCCTTTTTATTTTATTTTAATTTTTTAAAAATATATTTTATTGATTTTTCACAGAGAGGAAGAGAGAGGGATAGAAAGTTAGGAACACCAATGAGAGCCAAAACTGGTCTGGCTCAGTGGATAGAGCATCGGCCTGCGGACTGAAAGGTCCCAGGTTTGATTCCGGTTAAGGGCATGTACCTTGGTTGTGGGCACATCCCCAGTGGGGGGTGTGCAGGAGGCAGCTGGTTGATGTTTCTCTCTCATCGACGTTTCTAGCTCTCTATCCCTTTCCCTTCCTCTCTGTGAAAAATCAATAAAATATATTTTTTAAAAAAAAAAAGAAAAAGAAAAAAAGCCTCAATGAGAATCATCGACCAGCTGCCTCTTGCACACCCCCTACTGGGGATGTGCCCGCAACCAAGGTACATGCCCTTGACTGGAATCGAACGTGGGACCTTTCAGTCCGCAGGCCAACGCTCTATCCACTGAGCCAAACCGGTTTCGGCTCCTCCACCCTTTTTAAAAGAGAAGAGGGGAAAATGGGTTAAAACGCTAGTGTGGCTGTCAACACCTCGTCCCAGGTATGCGTGCCATGGGGTAGGTGCTGCAGTTGGGTCTTCCGTCAAGCAGAGAACTACTTGTAGCGGGCGCCCGCTAGAGAGGAAGTGTGCGGAGATTGCATCTTATGGGCCCCGCATCAGCCTGTGTCCGTGCTTGTCCCCACGCAGGGAAGCTCTTTGTGCTGGAGTCTCAGAACGGCTCTCGGGGGCTGGACCTGGAGGCGGCTCGGCTGTCCTGCGGGAGCAGGGGTGCTCACCTGGCGTCTGCGGAGGAGCTGCGGAGGGTGGTGCGGGAGTGCGCCTCCGCGGTGTGCGCCGCGGGCTGGCTGGCCGACGGCACCCTGGGGTAAGTCCATCCAACTGTCCATCCAACTCACCCGGCTGCCCCACCAGGGCTCCTATGGGGGCCAAATAATTGCTTTAATGAGGTGTCAGGACAGGCAACATGCAGTGGGCAGTGGCTTCCAGTGCATTCTTGATTTGAATTCTCATCTAAAAAAAAAAAAACATTTCCCCCCCCAATTCTGTCCGTTTGTATTCCCCCTGACTTGGTATTTTTGAATTTCCTTATTAAATTACAAAAATAATACATGCTTGTAAAATTTTCAAATGATACAAGTATGTATCAAGTACAAAGTGAGCTTGTCCCTTCTTCCCCACCTCGGAGGTTAACTGTCTGGCGTATATTCTTTATCCGTTTTTCTCTGTGGATACGCATCTGCATACACAGGGATGGGAAGATGGTGGGGAGGGGTGAAAATACGGCCACAGGTTCTTGCACGTTGCTTCCACAGAGAAGTGGGGTCTGTGTCCTCTCCCTGTGAATCAGGCCCAGCGTCGTCTGATATACCCTATCAGCGGCATACCATAAAGCAGGAGTGACACTATGTGACGTCTGAGGTCAAGTCAGAGAAAGCCACATCCGGGTTTCTGAGGACTCTCACTTTTTTTTTTTTTTTTTTAATATTTTATTGATTTTTTAACAGAGAGAAAGGGAGAGAGATAGAGAGCTAGAAACATCGATGAGAGAGAAACATCGACCAGCTGTCTCTTGCACACCCCCTACCGGGGATGTGCCCACAACCAAGGTACATGCCCTTGACTGGAATCGAACCTGGGACCTTTCAGTCCACAGACCGACGCTCTACCGCTGAGCCAAACCGGCTTCGGCAGGACTCTCAGTTTTGAGATGCCACGTTCTAGTAAGAAGTCTGACTATCCTGAGATGCGGTGAGGAAGCCCGGACCGGATGCCCCAAAGCGGTTCTTTCGCCAACAGCCCCAACCAATGTCCTGGCCAACAGCCGTCACTAACGGCCGGAAGTGGGAGGGAAGATGCCAGGGGATTCCAGCCCTCAGCTGTTGGGTTGTCACCAGCCTGTGAGTCTCCCCAGCTCCGGTTCTCAGACGTTATGGAGCGGAGACAAGCCATTTCATTGTGCCCTGTCTGAGCTCCTGACCCGAGGAGTCCTTGTGGAGAAGTCATTCCTGTGGCCGGCGAGGAGAAAATGTCCCATTAATGCCGCTAACGGCTTCTTTCGACTGAGAGGAGGCAGGAACCGTTCCACTGAGAAAGGAATGGGCTCCCAGAACTACTCTGGTAGACGATGACCCCGAAGATGTCTGGCTGGCAGGTGGCCACAGAAAACACACACAGCCACGCTGACTCACGCCTCCGCCGGCTACATGGGAAGCAGCAATCGAGCAGAAAGGACACATGAGGTCTCCTCCAAAACTTGTCCGTGGATCTCTCTGCCTTATATGTTCACATCCAGATTCCTAAATAGACAAAACATGTCCTGTGCATGAATTTTTTCCATTATGTAGTCAAGGGTGAGTAACTTCATAGTTCTGTCACCATCATGGCATCAGATAACCAGGGTACTCAGCGATTCTGAGGAGCCCGCTCAGAGCCAGGCTTAGGTCTCCCAGGCAATACAGGTCAAGACTGAGTCACTGGAAAGGTCCATTCTCCCTGGATTCGCTGTAAAGTACAATTGGTTTTTGGTAGGGAGGGGGGGGTGGCTGTAAAGTGTTAAGACATCTTGGCAGATCTCTCTACATTGCTACGATGATAATTCTTTACAAAGCACTCATACTTAACTTGATATATTTATTGCATGACGTATTAAAAATAGGTTTTCCATTTTAATGTTCCTAGAACCAAGAAGTACCTAACCATTAGTATGTACATTTCACTGTGGGTTTTATCAGTTACAACCACCACCCCCCCACTACCAAAAACAAATTGTTCCATGCACAGTGCATCCTGCGATTGGTGGCATAGTAGACATATAGTAGGTAGGATTTGTGTCTCGGTGAATTTATTTTGAGTGTATACATAAATCCAGAGAAAGACAGAGGTCTAGAGCAGTGGTCAGCAAACTCATTAGTCAACAGAGCCAAATATCAACAGTGCTACGATTTTCTTTTGAGAGCCGCATTTTTTAAACTTAAACTTCTTTAACGCCACTTCTTCAAAATAGACTCGCCCAGGCCGAAAACCGATTTCTGTGCATGGGCCAATCATACTTCAATCAAACATGAAGTTTCAATCATACTGTACGTGCGTGCCCACACATGGTATTTTGTGGAAGAGCCACACTCAAGGGGCCAAAGAGCCGCATGTGGCTTGTGAGCCTCAGTTTGCCGACCACTGGCCTAGAGAATACAAAATCTGGGACCACTTGTCTCCTAGGAGATATTACAGATTCTAATAAAGGGAGGTTGAAAAGCTGGTTAGCAATTTCAATAGCCTGCTAGGACTAGGAGGACAGAGGTCTGAATTCAGGTTTTGTGCAGGTGGGGGCCTGGGGAGTCCTTTGCTTTGGGTTGGAACATTGCAAGGCTGTAAGAGTAAACTGCAAGAAGCACACGGGTCCTCAGAGGAGCTGCAGCACAGCTTTAACTCCTCATAACTTAACCCATGAATTGGGGTTAAGATACTGGAGTCCCAGTGCCCCGGTAGCTATCAGAACTGATTTTAAAAATCATTTCTAGAGGGAGAAAACGTTACCCTAGGCAGTTGATTTCCACAGATAATTTTAGTAAGCATAAGGTTTGTCACACAATATAAAATAACCAGTCTCATGAGAAGCTAAGCCAACAAGAACAAAAATAGCCAGTAGAAAAATCTAGGTATTAGCCGTGGTAGATGCATTCTTCAAAATAACTCTTTAAAAGTGTTCAGAGATACAGAGCCAAGAAGGGTAATTTTGGCAGAAGACTGAAAACTACAAAAACAACCAATGTAAACCCTAAAAATGAAAAATACAATCACAGAAATTAAGAATGTAATAGATGGTTCTAACAGCTGATTAAAAAGAGCCAAAGAAAAGATTAGTGAACTGGAAGATATTTTAGAGGAAGATGTTCAGAATTAAAAAAACAAAAACAAAAAAACAGGAAAAAAAAGGATGAAATTTTTAGGATAAAGGGTAAAAGGCAAAGAAGATGTATGTGATTTGAATTCCAAAAGGAGAAGAGAAGGAAAAGTAATATGAGACTTACCCACATTTGAAGAAAAACATCCAGGCACAGATTCATAAAGCCCAAGTAGGACAAACAAAAAGAAATCCACAACCTGGCACATCTGATTAGAGTCAAATATGAACAAAAAATATTAAAACTAATAAGGAAAAGTACTTAAAAGGAGCAATAATAAAAGCCCAAAGATAATTGAATGATACCTTCAAAGTGTTAAAAGAAAATTACTGTCAGCCTAGAATAATATACCCACTAAAACTATTTTCTGAGAACAAAGATATAAAGACATTTTCATATAAAAGGTGAGAAAATTCATCAAATCGGACCTACACTAAAAGAAACACTAAAGGCAGGAGGAAAATAATTGCAGGAGGGAGGCTGCAGATGCAAAAAAAATGATGAATGGAAAGAGTAAATAGGAGGAGGAGGTTGTTAAACTGAAAGTCCATAATTCCATAAAGCAGTAATAATAATACTAAACACTAAAAAAATGGTATATCAGCCAGGGAGTATTTTAAATATGTTAATACATAGTATTTTAAGTTGTGCCATTGAGGAAGAAAGTAAAAGTAATGTTAAATTTTAGTGAGCAGAGGAAACATGTAAAAACTTATGGGGTAGCTACTAAAAGAATAGTAAAAGGATATATAACTTCCAAACCAATACAGAGGAAAGAGAATGCCAAAAAATAAAGCAATCAAAATGGAGAAAAGAGGGAGAAAGGAAGAAAGAATGGGCGTAACCAATAGAAAGATGGCGGATTTAAATTCAAAGAGATCTGTGATTAAGTTAAGTAGATGAGATATTCGAATTAGAAAACAAAGATTATAATTTGAATTTTTAAAAAAAAAATTCTACTGTTTGCTGTTTATAAAAGATACAATATTCCTAAATAAACCATGGGACTAAAATAAATTATAATATAAATTTGCATATAAGTAAAGGTAACATACCCATGGGATGTTACAAAAGCTATACCTAGAGGGAAATGTAAAGCATTTAAATACTCCTGTTAGAAGAGAAAAAGGGCTTAAGGTTCATGACTAATGATTCATCTAAAGAAATATGAACAACAAAACAAATCCCCTCAAAATGAGAAGAGCAGCCGAAACTGATTTGGCTCGGTGGATAGAGCGTCAGCCTGCAGATTCAATTCCGGTCAAGGGCATGTATCTTGGTTTCGGGCACATCCCCAATAGAGGCTGTGCAGGAGGCAGCTGATCGATGTTTCTCTCTCAACGATGTTTCTAACTCTCTCTTCATCTCTGTAAAAAAAAATCAATAAAATATATTTTAAAAAGAGAGAGAAGAGCATAATTGTATGAAATTTAAAAAACACCCACATACACTAGAAGAGATACACAATGTATTTATAGCCTCTGAAACTTGAATTATACATATGCCCCCAACTTAAGCATCTATGTCTTCCTGACTCTAGACCTTGGTTTGGGGAGAATGTCTCTGAAGCTTTCAGCCAAAGCTCCTGAATCAGAAAAATATCTGCAGCTTCCAAGCTGTCAGTTCTCCTACCCTTTCTTCTAAAAGTTTCATCTTTTTTTTTTTTTTGTCTTCTTTGTCTATTTCAGGACCACCGTGTGCAGCAAGGGGAGTGGTGAACAGCACACCATGAAAGCTGTGGATGTGAGAATTGAGGGCAGCCCGGCTCCCGGTGGCACATACAACGCCCTTTGTATTAAGGATGAAGGTCAGTGCCAGAGCCTTTGTCATTGTTCCATTGGGGGGAAAGGGGTGCCAGAGGGGTTTGCCACCTTAGGTTGTGCTCTCTAGAAACTGACCTTGAGTGAGAATTCACTCAACACAACGTATCAGGGAGACTTCCAAAGAGAAGTCAATAATACAGCGGAGAAGGGAACAGGAAAAGGAAGCAGACCACGCAATAGTGAAATACTAAGCAGAGTCCATGTCGCGTTGAAGTGAGGGCTCAAGGGTAACTCATGGGAGGTGGCTCATGTGAGAGAGCAGGGATATTTATAGCAATGCACCTGTCAGTCACTGGTTAAAGGCTGCTTCAGAGAGATGTGAATTCCTGGGCTCCTCTGTGGTTTTGTTGTTGTTGTTGTTTGTTTTTTTAAACATATTTTATTGATTTTTACAGAGAGGAAGGGAGAGGGATAGTTAGAAACATCGATGAGAGAGAAACGCTGCCTCCTGCACATCCCCTACTGGTTATGTGCCCGCAACCAAGGTACATGCCTTTGACCGGAATTGAACCCGGGACCCTTGAGTCCGCAGGCTGATGGCTCTACCCAATGAGCCACACCGGTTTCGGCTAACCTCCTTTAAAAAGTCAAGGAGCCACAGTGGGGCTGAAGGCCCTGGCTGGGGCTTATTAGATGCTCGTTAGTGACAGGATTCTCTGCCGCTACCGGGTTTTCCTACAGGAAGGTTTGCATTGGTGGATTGCTGTTTTCCTAAAATCACATAGATAAATTAAACAAATCCCAAATAGGCAAAGGTTCAGATCCCTGAGGAAGACAAGACAAGGCCAGAGGCAAAACAGCATGACCTTCATTCTTTAGCGCTGTTAAGTGAATATGCAGGGCTTCTCTCTTTCCCATGATAAACAAGAGGTATCAGTTAGCTTTTGCTGTGTAACATATCATCCCAAAGGTAGTGGCTTAAAACAACACCTGTTTATTCAGTTTTGTTTGTTTGTTTTATTGCGCCAACAAGTTGTATTCTGCTGGTTTCACCTGGGCTCATTCATGAGTGTAAGGTCAGTTGCTAGTCAGGTGGCCTTGCTTCTGGGAGAGGGCTGGCTGTTGGCTGGGGCATTGTGGGTGACTGACCCATGTGTTTCTCTTTGTCCAATAGGATAGCCTGGGCTTTCCACTTCATAGGTCTTTAATAGGTTGTGTGTATGCAAGTGTGTGCCCCTTTTACCCAGAATGGTAGTGCATGAAGCCAGAGGCGGAAAACATCCATTCACATCCTATAAGGCACCAAGGTCAAAGCTGTGATGGTGACTCCAAATTTGAGTAATTGCCAAATATAATGTGCCTCCTGCTATATTGCACTCAGAGGAACACAACTTCAACTCGGCAGTATTCCTGTCCCAAATGCATAATTATGAGGAAATATTAACCAAACAGATTAAGAAACAGCCTATAAAATGAATGGCCTGTACTCTTTAAAACATGTATAAGGATAAGAAAAAGACAGACTAAGCAATTCTTCTAGGTTAAAACAGACTAAAAAGACTTGACAACAAAATTGAATTTGTGGTCCTAGATTGTATCCTGAACCATGAGAAAATAGCTATAATGGATGAAGTCTGAATATGGATTATGAATTAGATAATAGTATTGCATCAATGTTTACATTTTCCCTGATTTTGGTAACTGCACTGCAGTTATGTAGGAGAATAACCTTGTTCTTGGAAACCCATTCCAAGGTTTTTAGGGACAAAGGGACATCATATGTACAACTTACTCTCAAATGGTTCTGAAAAAAATTACAGGTATTGATGCCCATATATATATATTCCATACATTTGTCTCTCTCTATAGATACCAATACATATCTATACATATCTCTACCTATCTAGAGAGAAGAATGATAAAGCAAATGGGGCCAAATGAAAACATCCTGGTGAATTTGGATAAAGGGTTTTTATGGGAGTTCCTTGCTTAGTCTTTTTCTTTGAACTTATATAAAAAATAAGAAACGTCAAAAAAATAAAATGATCTACATACTCCTAAAAACAACACAACTGTAACAATGACAACGGTGTGTGTGAGTGTGTGTGTGTGTGTGTGTGTGTGTGTGTAATCCCTGAGTCATGAAGAACCAACCTGTGAGGGAAATTCATGCCGCCGATCAGTGTTGGTGAAGACTGATGCTGTTGTAGTGAAACCTACACGGAATATGGATCATTTGAGTCCAAGTGCTCAGGAGCCCTGCATCCCAGAGCAGTTGCCTGAGCCTGGCCTCCGCCCCCCTCTGGGTCAACGGGAGAGGCCGTGTGGAGGAGACTGGAGTCTTAGTCTGGCCTGATCTGTGAGGAGGCTTCGGGCGGGCGGTGAAGGGGACCCAGGAATGCTGAGGTGGCATTAAGGTCGGAGGGCTGCTCTCTTGGGCACTCAGGGAGAGAGCGCTCCTGTTCCTCCACCTTCCATCCTTTAGGAAGAGCATGTAAGCTGCTCCCACATGGCCCTCCGCCCTGCCTCGTGGAGCCTTTGTTGAGAGTGCAGTCAATGGGGAAATCTGTGCTGAAGGCAGGCGTGGTGCCGGAGCAGAAGCTGAGACGGGTGGTTCCGTGTGGTCCCTCAGGAGCGAGTCTCCGTGAGTTCTGGTCCAGAATACCACCCGGCACAGTATCGTCCCCAAAGGTTGCCTTTTGCCCGTTGCTGCTCCATGGTCGGTGAGCTCCGTGCGTGCCAGCTCCAAGAATGGCAGACGGCTTCCTTATAAAGAGCCCAGAAGGAAAACAGAGCCCTGGAACATTTAGACAGCTTCCTCCTCTGTTTCTTTTTTGAAATGAAGTTCTTCATGAATGTAGACTTTTCTCATTTTCCTTCCAGTGCTTTGTCTCACCGAGAGTGAATTTCCAGTCCTGCGGTGATCTCACTTAAACTAATAAGTGGAGTTATTTTTAACCAACGGGATGTGGATGAAATAAGCTGCCTCCACTCGGGTTCTCTGGCTCTGCTTCTCTTGGCACTTTGTCTGGGGTCGACGTGTGGGGTCTGGAGTACACCCACAGGGTTCCGCTCTGAGGGTGCTTCTGTCCACCTCCTCCCAAGCCAGGTTGGCTGGCTGCTCTTCCCTACCTCCCTTCCCCACCTCACCCACCCCACCTTCTTAGCACCATGTTCTAACGCCCTTGTGTATTTACCTATTGCCTGTACTTCCCTTAAAAACAGAAATGGAATCGTTCGCTTTTTTATGTCATCAAGAAGAGAACCGGATGCTCATCTTGAGAGCAATGGGGACATTTTGAGAGAAACCAATTCTCAGGTCCCCCTGAAGGAGGCCCCAGGCCTCAGGATTGGCTTTGGGGGAAATTATTTGGCTGCAATCAGGTGACAGAAATCAACCGTAGTGCTTTGAACACCTGATAAAACGTATTCAGTTCAGGGTCTCCCAAGGGAGTGTGGAAGGTTCTGAGCTCATTACCATTGACCTGACCGTGGCAACTTATTTATCAAGGGTAAAGTCCAGTGCTCAGACTTGTGGGTTATTCCGTGGAAGGATAGATAGATGGATGGATGGATGGATGGATGAATGGATGGATATATAGATAGATGATAGATAAGATAGATAGACAGCTGGATATAGAGGTCTCATTCCCACCCTCAAGGAGTTGACAGGATAAGAGTTGAATATGTTTCCTGACACAAAGGAGGAGGGTAATTAGCAGATTTCCTGAGTCAATGGCATTTGAGGTGGAATTTGAAGATTTTGTTTCTAGAAGTAATTATTAGGGAAGGGAGGAGAGGACATGGCAGATAGGGAGAACAATGATTTGGGGAGACTAGCTCTGGGACAGCCATAAGGATGCGTGTTTCAGGAGAATGACTCCGATTTAAATATCCCCAGTGGCTTGAGTAGCTGCTGGGCATGTCTGAGGTGGATTCAGAGGAAGCCTAAGTCATCTCCATCTCAATGAGCAGTGAAGCCCCCCCCTCTGCCACCTACACTTCAGACCAAACAGTACCAGGTCTTCCTTTCCAAAAGCCTAGGCTGGATCCGTCCTGACACTCAAACAGTCAATACCCAGGAACACAGAGTGTCTGAGCAGCCAGAGAAATTGTGCCAACGGGTCCGTGTTCTGAGGGATGTCATGAGCCATTTGATTTTGCCCTTCTTCCCTCAGTTCCTGTTCAGCCAACGTGTGCTTGGCTGCATGTGGTTTGAGGGAACTGGGTATTCAGTTGTCATTATTGCTTGGAGAATGACTCAAAAGACCAGAGTCTTCAGCTTACTTGGGAAATGGAACTCATATTTACGTAGGCCCCTGTTAAGTTCCAGGCATGTTACTGGGCACTGGGCAAGGCATAAGCTCACTTAATTCTGCTCACAACCTAATGAGATGTGTTTCATTAGCTCCACTTTATATTTTATTTAAAACATATTTTATTGATTTTTTTACAGAGAGGAAGAAAAAGGGATAGAGAGTCAGAAACATTGATGAGAGAGAAACATCGATCAGCTGCCTCTTGCACACCCCCTGCTGGGGATGTGCCTCCAACCAAGATACATGCCCCCCGACCGGAACCGAACCCGGGACCCTTCAATCCGCAGGCCGACACTCAATCCACTAAGGCAAACCAGTCTTGGCAGCTCCACTTTATATTTTAATGTATTTCCCACTTATAAACAGGAGCATGCGGCCATTGTTAGAGGAAGTACAAAGGAAGTGGAAATCATTCGTAATCAGTAAAGATGGAGAACATTTCCTTCACCCCCGATAGTTCCCGGGAGCCCTTTTCCACAGGTGCTCTCCTCTCCCCGTGCCAGCAGAGTCAGAGGCAATTTCTGTTCTGCCTGCCGTCACCATATAGTAACGTCACCACCATATTATATATTAACTTCGCCTGTTTCTTTGAGGGTGTGCTAGTTATCTAGAGCCATAGTTCTCCAAGGGTAGTCCCTGGAGCAATACTATCACCTGGGAACTCATTATAAATGCAAATTCTCAGGCCCTAACGTGACCTATTGACTCAAACTCAAAAACACAGC